GATTCCCCTTTGGTGAATCCATGCTGACTACTCCTGATCACTTTCTTGTCCTCCACATGCTTAGTGAGGACCTCCAGGAGGAGCTGTTCCATCAGCTTTCCCGGGATGGAGGTGAGGCTGACAGGTCTGTAGTTTCCTGGCTCCTCCTTCTTGCCCTTTTGGAAGACTGGCGTGACATTGGCTTTCTTCCAGGCCTCAGGCACCTCTCCTGGTCTCCAGGACCTTTCCAAGAGGATGGAGAGTGGCCTAGCGATAACATCCGCCAGCTCCCTCAGCACTCGTGGGTGCAGCCCATCAGGGCCCATGGATTTATGGATGTCAAAAGATTGGACAAAAGATCTCGAACCCGATCCTCCTCCACCAAGGGAGAGTCTTCCTTTCTCCAGCCTTCCTCTCTTGTCCCCAGGGTCTGGAATTGCTGAGGACTGGCCTTAGCAGTGAAGACTGAAGCAAAGGCAGCATTCAGTAACTCTGCCCTCTCTATATCCTTCGTTACCAGGGCACCCATGAGCTCTTCCATCACCTTTCCAGGGATGGAAGTGAGGCTGACAGGCCTGTAGTTTATGCACTGACTTCTCTTGATTCATCCTCTGTTCCTTACCAGGTTGAGAAAAGTCTGGCAGAAGAGGAAATGCACCATCAGCAATGGCTACCTGACCATCTCCCACAGCACGGTAGGAACCACTTTTTTCACCCCATGCTGTTGCTGCTTTGGAGCTGCTGCCCACCACTGCAGCAGCCTCACAGTATGCTGGTGGCTTCCTGGGAGTCTGGCAGAGCTCTTGTGGCTGGTGCTTGCCATGCTGGGCTGCCCCAACATAGCATCTGTGGGGAGTCTTTCCACTAAGACCTGAGTAATCCCTGGGACCTGAGAGAGTTTTAGACAAAAACAGGAGGGCCTTTCCTGCATCTGTACTTGAAGGAACATGAACCTGGGGACTAGGTGCTCCAAGCATGGGGTGGCAGTCCGGTAAGAAAAGATCAATGTTGCTATTTCTTATATTGCTCTTGAGAGTGGAGCCAAGGATGAAGTGCTGGGCATGAGAGAGATTCACTGCTCTTTCGCTTGTGCAGCTTTCCAAGCTACTGCAGAGCCAGGTGGTGATAGTTACTGCCAGGGCGCCACCCTGTGATCCTAGGAGGATTGAGTGTTCTTCCTTCTGGTCATAGCTCAACCGCCCACCAGCCAAGCTGAATTTATTGACATGCCAGGTGAAGCCGAATGTGGACGACAGGAAATGCTTTGATCTGATTTCACGTGAGTCCTGGCGCCTGTTCTGTGCTACCTCTGGGAAGAGACCAGAGAATTGGCAGCAATTTGGGTTTAGAGAGTCAGTGTGGACTGAGGCGAGGTGAAGCTGTGTAGCTCTGAGCTCTGAGCTGGGAGGTTTACCCTGGGAAATTGTGTTGAGAGGCAGCTCTGCTGAGAAGCAGCAGTGCATATGCGAGGTGTGAGATGGACAGCACTGCCACAGTGCGCTCCGGGGTGGGGGGTGCAAGTGGACCATGCAAGTGTAGCAGCTTAGCTAGCATGAGTATCCCTCTTTCCTGATATGTGAGCAGGTCCCTTTGTGTGGGGTGTACCATGGAGGGACTGGGACCAACAGAGTCGTAGGCGATGGTCACCACAGGTGCCTGAGCGGGATTTTTCTGTTCCCTGTGCCTGGCCTTGCTAAGCCCAGCTCAGGCTTCTCCTGCTGTGAACCTGCTGGGTGAGATGGGGATGCAGGGCATCTGCAGCTCTTCCAGGCAACTCTATCCTACTCTCACTAAAATCAAGCCCTTTCAGGCTAGATTTTGGCCTAGAGGAAAATAGCTCTGTGTGTTTCAGATAACCGCACGTACCGCTTCCTGGCGGAGGATGAACAGGAATGTGTTGCGTAAGTACTGCAGGCAAAGAATGCTCACTAGGGACAAAAAGTGCTCCTTTGGCTGCTGATGAGGAGCCAGCTCTTTGGCTAATGAAGCAGCACCCCACTGCCCCTTGTTCAATGTCCTTCCCATCCTTACTGTGTCCTGGTCACTCTGGGGGCCTGGTCAGCTGGTAAGCAGGGCGCAAGGCCCGACTGAGGCCCTTGGCACCCAATCTGCTGCTGGATTCATCTTCAGGAGCTTTGTGTTCAGTGGTTCTGGGCTCTGTAGGCTTCCTTCCTTCCTTGCAGTGCCTACTGTGGCTGTGCAACAGTGGGAGGAACCCCACTGCCCATCTTGTTCGGCTCCCTGCAGCCTGAGCATGTCGGTGCAGGGCCTCTCTTCTAAGAGCAGCTTTCTGTCCATGCAGCTGGGTGTCCGTCCTCAGCAACAGTAAGGAGGAGGCGCTGAATGTGGCCTTCAGCAAGGCACAAGGCGGAGGGGAGAGCAGCAGGGAGGAGCTGACCCGGGCCATCATTGAGGAGGTTAAATGCATGCCTGGGAACAGAGAGTGCTGTGACTGCTCAGCGTCAGGTGAGAGCCAGCCTAGGACTGTGGTGGCCATTGCACAGGCTGCCTACGTTTCTTCTCTCTGGGGACAAGCAGAGCTCTGCCCTTCCCTCTGCAGCATCCAGCTCTGTCACAGCCAAACCCACGGAGACCGTCAGGTCTGGGTCCTTGCCTTTCCCTTTCGTGCTCCCACAGTTCTTTGTTGCCAGTTTGGTATCAAAAGCAGTCCTGCTGCGCACATGTGTGCCTTGTGCCCCAGTGCCCTGAGGCTGCAGGGAGGGCCAGCGGGTGGGAGAGGCAGAAGACACACACTAGCACAGCAGTGTTATCTCTACAGATCCCACTTGGCTCTCCATTAACTTGGGCATCCTGATCTGCATCGAGTGCTCTGGGATTCACAGAGAGATGGGTGTGCATCTTTCTCGCATCCAGTCACTGTCTCTGGACAAGCTAGCAACCTCTGAATTGCTGGTAGGATGCTGCCAGAAGTGCACCCTGTCCCCCTGCCTTCCCCCTTCCTATGGCCCTCCTGAATCCAGGTGGAAGTGAACTCACTGCATTTTTCCCTTGTGAAATGGGCCCATCCTCAGCTGAAATTCTGGGGCGGGAAGCGTCATCTTCAAAGAGAAGAGGAAGGTGCCATTTGACCTTTCCTGAATCATCCATCTCCCACGATGAGTCCCTTCCACCAGCTATGGCACTTCATGCAAGGGAGCGGCAGGGCAGTTCCAAGCCAAAAATGGGATTGAGCTGAGTGTGGGAAGGGCAAGGGGAAGGAGGATTTGCAAAGGGCTGGGATGGTCCAGATGCTCATAAATGACATGGTTGTAGGTAGGTGTATGATGAGGGCTGGCTGGAGAGCTGCTGACAGCTGGTAGGTGTCAGGTCAAGGAATGAGAGTGTTTAGCAATGATCATTGCTTGCCTGGATATGAGCCTGGGAGTTGGCTTTGGGGTTACACTTCTGGGGTTGACAGATCTCAGCAGTATGTGGGACAGAGTCTCTATGCCATTGGGCATGCTCATCCTGGGAGCCATTCACTGCCCCTTGACACATCCCGCTGAAAATAAAGTGCCAAAGGTCAGGATCTCTTACCCTGAGCTCCCTCTCCTGCTGCCAAGTATGTAGTGTTGCATGTCCCATGCCACGTCTAGTTTGTTTGTTTTGCAGCTGGCAAGGAATATTGGCAACTCTGGCTTCAATGTCATCATGGAAGCGAATATCCCCAGCTCTTCAACGAAACCCACAGAGCACAGCGATATGTAAGTTGCCATGCAAGAGCTGTTATTTGTGGGAGGTTAGGTATGGGGCCCTTGTCTGTGTGCATATGCTCCATGGGCCTGTTACTTCCCCATGATAACCAGACACATGGATGCTACCTGATTTCCTTGCCCAGATGGTAACTTCTGTTTAGAAGCAATTTGATCAAGCCCAGCAGGAAAGGTCTGATAAAGGAGAATGAAGGGGCAAGGACGACCCAGCAGGATGGTGCAAGGCGTGGCCTCAAGGTCAGGACAGAGATCAAGGAAACAGCACTAGAAAGGGAAAGGCATGAAGAGAAACAGAAAAGAAATGGAGCTGCCAAGCATGATGACCCTGGCTTCACACATCAGCCAGGCAGGGAAGGACAGAGAGATGTAATGGGATGGGGGAGGGTGAATTGCATGGTGCAGAGCAGTTTACAGCGTCCAGTGGCTGGGGCCCAGATTCAGTGAGTTTAGCATAGGCATCTAGCAAAAGGAAAGAGAAAACAAGAGGCTTCTGGGCATCACGTGTGTGGCCAAATTACTTGTGATGTAAGTGCAGAGACAGAAGTCTCTGAAGGCTTCCAGTATCTACACGTTAGGTGCCTGCTTCTTTCACTGAGTGTGTGAGGACCTATCGCTTGGTACATTCACTGTGGATGCAAGCCACAAAGCCCTCTTCATCCCAGAAAGCACTCCAGCCTCTAGGCTCTGCAGAGGATGGGTGAGAGCTTGGACAGCATGGTTCGTGCCAGGAGTAACTCTGGGCTTCTCCAAGGCTTGGTACTGCAAAGCCAGGGTGCAGCAGCGCTCTTGGGAAAGCAAATAGGTGGGGAGCTTATTGTGAGGTACTGAGGGGACTTTCAGGCAGCTAGAAAGCAGGCAGAGCAGACACAGTCAGCGACTTAGTGTCCATTACAGGCATTTAAGTCCTCACTAGGGCAGCATTTAGACAGATGGGACCCACATTGCAGTAAACAGATGGATAAGGAAGAGGCTTGGGTGTCGAATGAGCAAGACTGGAACTGGATGAAATTTATTTGTTCTGCGGCAGCTTTTTCTTCTTGAAGTGCTCCTTTACAACCTGGGCATCTGCCCCACAGATCCTCTAGCAGGTCACTGTTTCTGCTGTTTTTGAATTCTTCTCTTCTTCAGCTGGAGGTTCCCGGCTTACTTAGTCATTCCTTGTCTGGAAACTGTTCCGTTTTCTTGATCATTCTTGTCTAGTCCACACCAGGTGATGCTTCTCACTCCCCATTATTTCCAGTCCTTCCTCTAGTTCTCACTGTGCAGACAGCTGAGCCCAGTACGTGAACTATGAGGGCGGAGGCAAAGGATGGAAAGGCAAAGGATGGTTCAGGACTGGGGAGGAAAGGAAGTGAGAACAGAGCAGAAAACATCACCAGGCCAGTGCCTAAATCCCCAATGCACCCACCCCTTGAGTCCTCCCTCATGGCAGAGAGCTGCAGCAGACAGGGAGAGGCACAGGGAAGAGTAGCAAGCAGAGCCAGAGGTGTGAAATGGCTCCCACACATGCAACGGCTGAAGGGGTCAGGGCTCTTCAGCGTGGAAAAGACAATGGAGGGAGGTGTGACGAGTCATGAGAGGCTGAGAGAGGGGGAGAGGCATGAACTGTTCCCCATCCCTCCCAGCACAAGGACTTGGGGCATTGGATGAAGGTGGTTCCTGCAAAGGGGGGAGGTGGGTGCAGATGTCCCCCTGCCCCATCACTGCAGACCTGCACACTTAAAATGTATGCAAGTCAAGGTCTCATTTAATTATGTAACTCCAGGAGAAGAAGCTTTAAGAAAACACTGTGTTTTATTTAAGAGTTACGAATGCTGCTATAGAGAAATCTGGGGAATGGAGCAGAGACAGGAAAGGTGTGAAACTGCCTGGCAGGTCTGAAGGAGAGAGAGAGGGAAAGTAGCTGGGGCAGTAGAAGAGGACGGGGAATCCCTGTGCCAGTAAATGCTTTCCGGGTCTCTGTTTGGGCCCTAACTTTTACTCTGTTGGTCTCTGCCAGGGCTTTTCGGAAAAATTTCATCATTTCCAAATATGTTGAAAAGAAATATGCCAAGAGGAGCCCTGCTGGTCACCATCCAGACCTCCCAGAAGCTGTCATGTACAAGGACATACTTTCTTTGCTCCAAGCTTATGCTGAGAATGTGGATTTGAGCAAGCCTGTGCTGGCACCTATGCAGGTACGGCTCCCTCTCTCTAGCACAACAGAGGGCATAGGAGCAGTCCTGGCACCATCACCAAATGGGGGGATTGCAGGAGACTCGAGACATCTGAAACGGAGGTGCTCACAGGGAGCAGGACAGCAGTCCTGCTCCCCTGGCAAGAGCCTGAACTCCAGGGAAGGCTGAATTCCCAGGCTGCATGGTTAGAGCACCCAGCATTTCTGCCTTCCTATTCCCAGCCCTGGCTGCCAGGTACTGCTTGGAAGGGGGTGTTTCAGGGAGCTGTAAGGTTCTTCACCATTGGTTTCATCTTGCTTACTGTAGCAGCATTGACTAGGAAGGCAGGCAATTAGAGGAGTTTTCTCCTGGGGAGCTGGACACATAACTGTGGCACAGCTGCCGCTGTGAGTGATGCCAGTATGCAGCATCTGGACAGTAATTCTGTTGACTACTGAATCATCAAGCAATATTAAAACAATCCTTTGCTTGCTTAAAGCAAAGATAAATGTGACAAGGATCATGTCCTTCATGAGCCTGCCTGCCGGCTCTGCCTCAGCAGCGTCTTCGTCAGCCCCCCCTCTCCCTGGGAGCCTGCTGTCCCCCTTGCAGACACTGGGCAGTCTCATGGGTTCATATGAAAAATAGCTTTGCTGTATTCTCTCCAACCTGTCCACAAAGGCCACTGTGCCCATGAGAGATCAGGGCTTTCCAGGGAAAATGGTGCTTTCTGTGGGCTGAGTGTAACAGGTAGATTTGAGGCGGGGTAAGTAACATCGCAACAGAGGATGGTGTTTTAACCCAACAAACTGGCTGTATCAGCAGAGCCCTCCTCACTGTCTGCATGCTGGGGGCCACAAGTCATAACCACACAGCCAAGAGTTTTTAAAGGCCAATTTGTAACTGTTGCTTGTAAACTTCTAAACATATTTCAGATCCCCAAAATGTCCAAGTCTTATTTGGAAGCTGTAGGTTGAAAATTCAGGGTATTATTTTTGTCTCAAACCAAAGTGTGAATCCTTGCTGTAAGTGCAGCCCTAACTCCGAAGGTGTTTGCATCTATGGGAATGCTGCTGTCCCATCCTCTTTCCCGGCAAGGACACTTGTGAATGTTGCCCAGAGGAAAGCTGAAGGAGCAAAATGCTGGAATGAGCAAGAAACAGTCAGAATTGGAGGTTCTGGGACAAACTGGCAAGTGAGAAGCAGCTCTGCAGAGATCAGCTATTGCACATCTGGAGGCGCCCAGTGGCAGCCAATGGGATCATGAACTCAGCCAAGTTCTGCCTCTGACATGGCGGGGGGAAACTAGAAAAAAAAAGTCACCTCTGGTTGACTCAGTTTCCAAATGTGAAAAGGGAATGGTTAATCCTTCTTCATGAAGCTATCAGAAATGAAAATGAAAGGTGGCAGCTAAAGGGCAGATGTTAGGAAAATAAGTGGCTCAGGCCCTAATAAAAAGGTGTCAGTTGCTTAAAAAGGACTTAAGGGAGGATGAGGAAAGTGTGATTAGAAAAAGTTTCCTGGAGAAATGTGGCTCCATGGATCCACCTCATGTTGAGACAGCACTGGAGTTCTAATCAACCTTGCTGTACATGGCTCTAAAAAGACAAACCTGTTTCTGTTCGTCCCTTGGAGGCTGTTAGGGATGTTAAATGTATAAGGGAACACCAATGCAGATTGGGGAGCTGGCTGATTTAACTTTTTGGTTTGTAAGCAAGCAGCTCTTACCCCTGCATGTGGCATCTGCTTGGTACTGAATTGCACATGCTCACAGACTTTCCAAAAGCCTTTGACTAATTGTTCATGAGAAGTTCCTAGGAGAAACCAGCAGCCGATTATCTCTCATGTTTGCAGAGCATCTGACAGGTTGGATGCTGTCCCTAGGCAGTCCTCAGAACTCCTCTAGTATCATAGCTGCTCCTCCTGGGATCATGCAGTTCCTAAAACACTGGAAGGACAGAGCTCTGTTTGCAGTGGAGATGCTGGCAGACACAGGCTCATCCTGCTGCTTTCTGTATTTTTCTTGTTTACAGGAACCTGGGGAGACCATTCTCCACCTGGCAGTGTTGCTGTCTGATCGAACCTCTTTGCATGTTGTTGATTTTCTTGTGCAGAACAGGTAAGCTCGTGACACCTGGCCAGCTTGTCATAATGCCAGTGCTAGTGAAAGGTGTAAAACTGATGGTTTTGGAGATTTCTTCTACATGCTCCCAAAGAAGAGTTAGAGAAAAAGCACTGGGGCAAGCATCCCAACAAATGTGCCTTGGGCTGGACTTGGGATGGCGATCCCTAGCTCGGAGGGTTCTTAGGTTCTCTCATCTCCTCTGGGTCTTTGTTGGGGTGTGGCAGTGGTGGTGATCATCCAGCCCACTCCAAATGAGGTGAGAAGAAACACATGTGCAAACACCAAGTGGTGTTTGCTATGGCTGGGGCAAGCTGCTCTTCCTAGACATGCTAAGACTATTCATCCTCTGCTGCAGTGGGAGCCTCGCAAAGCAGACTGCAAAGGGGAACACACCGCTTCACTACTGCTGCTTTCACAACAAACCCGAGTGTGTCAAGCTACTACTGAAGGCCAAAGCCAGCATTGCCATAAGTAAGTGGCGGGGGGAACCTCCACCCTGTGCATGCAAGTGGTGCCTTCTCAACCCCTTTTTGGAAACACCACCGTGAGTCTTGCTAAACTACTCAACAGTGCTTGTTTGCTGCTGGGGAGCAGCAACTTCCAGAGAGACTCCAGAGAACTAGACTAATAACAGCTTTTGATGGGGACCCTGCCTTTGGGATGATGCCTCTTCTCATCATGTCCAATAAGGTGTCTTGCTCTTCCCTCTGATACTGCTCTTGGTTTGCTCTCCAGGTTCAAGGGCGTCCACAAGCCAGTCAGGCCTGCCTCTCAGGACTCACGGTGCCCTCTGTGAGGTGGACTGACCAAGGTTCCTGCTCTTCACAGTCTGGGACAGAATTGCAGGCTCCACTCTCCAGCTCAGAGCTGGGGCTGCATCCTCTCTGCTCCTCAGAGGACATCCTGTCTTCAGGGAGCTCTTTCTTCTGCCCTATTTCACTACTCCCTTTCTCAAGTAGAAAGCCAAAGGTCTGGCTGCAGCTGGCAGCTTTGTGGTTGTTTCCTTGCTCTCCGCAGCCTGAGCTCTCCTGAGCAAGGGGAGATTATGCTGGGGTGTGCTCACAGAGCTAGAAGAGCAAGAGAAACATGATCTGAGCTGCTTTTCCGCACTCAGCACATGCACAGCAGAAACTGTGACAGAGACTTTTTTATTTTCAAAGCCAAAGCTGAAATGCTGGGGAATGGATAGGAGGTTTGCCAAAATGCTGGTTCAGAGACTGAGCATATAGTGGTGCTCAGGAACCCAGATTACAGATCTAGTCATTTATACTGCACATAAATCCCTATCTCCTCTTAAGACCATGGAACTGAGCTTTAAAACAGGGATTCTTGTTGAAATGAGAGATCACAAAAGCCATCATCATTAGGTATCGGCTGAGTTTGTAGGTACATTCAGTCACTCCTCAGATGCTCCCCTCTGTTTTACACTGCAGATAGTGCAGTGTCAGCACCTAGGAGAACAGAGAAAATGCTGCAGGGTGGCAGGGAGGTGCATGCATCTCCTCCAGTCTCACAGGGATTTGTCTGGCCAAACTTCTCATGTCTCAAGTCATGCCAGGGGCAGTGGTAGTGGTACCTGCCCCGTCTCTACCGACTCCCCCCAGTACCGCAAGCTTCCAGAGTCTGCAGCGTGGACCCTGCAATGGTTTGGGATGTCCTGCAGTCCCTCGAACGCCAACCACCTGGAGGCAGGAATGTGTCCTCCAGCCACCTGCCCCCTCCCTTCTCCAGAGTCCTCTGAGGTGCCCACTCTCCCCAGCCTGCCTGGGGCCTGCTGGGCTTCACAGACAGAGCCTGGTAGGAAACAAGGTTGCAAAATTATAGCAACAACATAGCAGATCTCAACTTGAGCCCTCATAGGAGAGGAAGATTGGTGCTGAATCTACTTTTGTACCCTTCAGGCGGTGGCAGTGACTGTGATCTTTGTCTCTCTATCCTGTCCTGTCCCTGCAAGGCACCAGGATTTACTCACTGTCCTTTCTCTCCTTATCTGGGTGTCTCATTGCTCCTGTCCTTTTTAAGGCTATAGGGATAGTTGGTCCCTGTTTAGGCTGGTCCCTGTTTGCCCGGAGCTGTTTGTCCTGAGAAGCTGCATGAAGATATGTTGGGATGTGAATGACCTGTTAAGCTTGATGCCATCAAAATGTGCCTTTCTCACAGCACTTCCTCTGCCCTTTCTTCCTTTTGATCCTCTCGCACCAGGCATTCCTGCTCCACCTTTCACGTTAAGCTTAACATTTCTGTTGCAATTCTCTAAGGTCTCCAGAGACAAATAAGCAGGCTTTGCATAGGGTCCCTGTAAACAGCATTACTCTTTGCTTAGTAAAGCACAGAGAGGGCTCATAGAGTTCAAGATTGCCATTTTTGTTCACAGCTAACGAAGCAGGAGAGACAGCCCTGGATGTTGCCAGGAGGATGAGACATCCCCTGTGTGAAGAACTGGTAAGAAATTGTATCTCACTCCCTCTGCTTTCAGGATGTCCCAGCAGCAGAGGGAGAAGCCCTGGAAGGGCACCCATTTGGACATGTCAGGTCAATGCCACTGCAGGGCTGCACCAGACTGTGAGGGGGAGAGCTGAATGGAGGGGGACCATACAGCTTCCTGCTGTGAGGGATGGAGCTGAGACAGGCAAAGCTGTATGGCTTTGCATCATGCAAGCAGCACTGCCTTGGCCCGATGCAGTCCTGTGGCCCTGCTTGGTGGCTGGAGACTGCACAGACAAGTGTGTCTGTCTCTCAGCACCTCTGGTGTCTGTGTGGGACATGGAGGAGGAGGTAGTGAGGGTTTAGGGAGGAGATGGCCCAGCAGTTGTGGGATGCCTCAGGGTAGGACAGTTTGGGAAAGGCCAAACCAGAGCAGTCCAGAGGTCATGCTGTGCTGTGGGGGTGAGAGCAAGCATCTACTTGTGTAGTCCAACAAAACAGACCTGCTAGCTCCACAAGTCCTGTTTCTGCCACATCTTGAACTGCATATTTGGAGATTTTTGCAAAAACCTCGTGCTCCCAGTTTGCCAGGCAGGAAACATTGCTCGCAGCTTGCAGATATTTCTCTGAGAATCTGAATGGTCAGAGCTGGGGACACCTATGGCCTTGGGTGCCAGCTGGGGGTAGGAAAGGGTTGGGTTCTCAGGGAGCTCCTCTGTGTCTCAGCTGCTGCAGGTCCAAAACAATCAGTTCAACCTGCATGTCCACGTGGAGTACGAGTGGTGGCTGGGCCAAGATGACATGTATGAGAGCGATGAAGACCTGGATGAGAAGGTGAGGTCCCACCCTGTGACCAGGCAAGGGATGTACAGCCCAGTGTGGGCCTTGGAGGACATGCCTCATGCCTGACACTGAGCCACTCTTTGCTCCCAGCTGCTCCCCTCAGATGATCTCTTGTCATCTTCCCCTGGTAATGCTGGCCCTTGTGAAACTATCGATTGAGTGCTTCCCTGTAGATGAGGAAAACATAAGTCTTTTTTTTTTTTCTTTCTCAAGTGAAATTACTCCTGTCTTGGAGAGGAGCGAGAGTTTGGCTCTGCTGCCCAGCCCCTTGTATGTCCTCTGCCTCTTTGTTGTGGGGGCTGTTTGAATCTGTCCTGGTGTCTTCTGAGGCCTGTGTCTGGGGCCTAGGCCTTGTGGGGTTGGGGGTAGTTCAAGATGACCAGGAGCCAGGTCCGTCACTGTCCCATAGCCCCAGGCAGCTTCAATGGCCTGTGCTGGTGGTCCTAGCAGTCCTGTGATGGCCATGCCACACTGACATTGCATTCTGTCTCCCTGCCAGCCCCATGGGGCAAGTGTGGCCTATAGTCCTGGAGAGGGGCTAAGGGCCACATGTATCACTGCTGCCTCCTGCTCTCGTTACTCTGGAGCAGTCAAAGAGTCCTGTACTTATTGCTCTAGCTTTTTTCTCCTTCTGTATGCCCCATGTAATGTGCAAATATCTGTTTCCCAGCTGGGTTCTTCGAAGAAAGAACGTGCTGTGCGCCCTCAGAGCTGCTACCATCCACCTGCTCCTGCCTCCAAGCAACAGGCAGCAGGGGCAGTGCCCCAGGACAAGTGGCCAGACACCTATATGTCACCCACCCACCTCTGCAGCCTGGACATACCACCAGCCCCCTCCTGCAAGCCTCCTCTCCCACCTCAGTGGGCAAGCCCAGGTAGGAGCATGATGTGAGAATGTGTGTCTGCCTGGGGTGGCAGAGTTAGGACCTGGAGCCTGTGCAGCGTGGCTCCATCAGAGGAGAATCACTGGGGCTGCAGCTGGGCCCCTGATGATGCGTGAGGAGTTGTCCTGTGCCGTAAAGTGCGATTCTGTTCTCTGCTCCTTGCGGGAGGAAGGCTAGTTGGTGTTGGCTGGTGTTTCCCAGCACTGATCTCTGTGTGGGTCTTTGCAGACCAATGTGGCACATGCTCACCCTCAGATCCCCTACAGTGGTGCTCTAAGGATGCACACCGTATCCTCTTGAACATTGCTGTTACTGGGAAAGGCTGAGGGGCAGATGTTTAGAGACAGGACTGGAAACACAGAACTACTAGTAGAAGCAACAACATTGCATTTCTGATCCTCAGCAAGATTCCATCCTGCTGTCCTTGCCCAGCCTTTCTTTGGTGAGCCCAGGCATCCTGCTTTATAGGAGACTTGCCAAGTCCTGCCTGACTTCCCCTCCATGTGTCCCAGTTGTGCTTCCAACTTGATGCCTTTCTCAAGTCAGACCTGCAAGCAGAGAAATGAATATCACTGTCAATGTATCTGCTGATTTTTGCCTGGAGCTTCGCTCCTGGGCACCCTGCTCAGTGTCAGCTTGCTTTTGACTCACGATTTGTTCCTGATCTGTGTTTAACTCCCCCAGACGCCCATCCACCCCTTCTTACCAGCACATCTGTCTTTACTGAGGACACAAAAACTGGGAGGATCTCACCCCTGTCTCTGAGCGCCAAGCACAAGCGCACATCCTCAGAACCAGTGCCTTGGGTACCACTTAGCCCTGAGCAGCCCAGTCAAGTCAAGCTGATTTCAGGTAATGAAAGAATTGGCTCAGAAAGAGCAAGGAGACAGGCCTTGCTGGTGGAAAGGGCCCTCTGGAGGTCTCCAGTCCATGACCCACTCAGAATGGGGTAATCACCCCATTCTGGCTGTTTGTGGCTTTTTCTAGCTGAGCCATGAAACCTCCTAAGGATGGAGGTCCAGGCCAAGGGCAGACTGATACCCTGGCTCTTAGCTCAGCTGCAGATGAGGAGGGCTAGAGGCCAAACCCAGAGATACTATGTGCTTCAGCGTGAGCTGTGCATCAGGCTGGGCCAGTGGGGGAATGCTGCACTGGGCTTTTTGCTCTAGACCAAAGAACCGGGTGGTTGCTTCCAGAGGGCTCTGGCAGCATAGGATCTCTCCAATGTGTCAGTGGTTCTTTCTTCCTGTTTTGAGGCTGGATTTTTCTTGCCTGTGCGTTCTTTGGTGGGGGAAGGTTTTCCAGAAGTCTGAGATAATTTTCACTGCTTCTGCAAGACCTGAGGGCCTTGTTCATGGATCAGGCCTGCAAGGCCTCTTGCTTGGATTCTGGGTTGGGAGAACAGTGTGAGGTGCAGCACTGAGCTGTGTGCCCACAGCTGTGACACAAGAAGAGCTCCCCACACCCAGGCGGTTAGGTGGGAGCCAGGCTCTTTTATGGGTCATGGGGCTGTTGGATATGCTGAATTTGAAGAACCAAATCACCCTGTGCCAGTCTTTCAGCCAGTGGATTTGTTTTAATAGGTGCCCATGGCAGAGAGATGCCCCTCTCTGCACCCCAGGTAGAGTGGCAGGTTTGGGGGTGAGGCAGTGGCTTTCAAAATGTGAACTCTTCAACAAAGGGGCTGAACACTGTCGGGTGCAGCTCAAGACACTCCAGGCTGGGAGTTTGGCCTGCTGGAGCCCCCAGGTACCAGGGTCTCTCTTCTAGGAAATAGCCTCTTCCCAGCAGAGCTCAGCCACATGGGGAGTGCTGGAGTGCCAAGCACTCATGCCACGACAGCCACCCCCTTCCCCTGGTGCTGGCAGCTCTCAGGGCACCTTGGAGCTGTATGGCCCAGCTCCCAGCACAGCTGTTTCCTTATGCTGCTCTGGGAGCTGCCCTCCTGCACACCCAACTAGCAGCATGGCAGTTCCCTGGAGAGCCAGAACAGCCACCTCTGCCTGCCTTTCCGGCTTTGCTGCTGTTGCTAAAGCTCCTCTGCATTTTGCTCTTAGCACTAGCTCATGCCAGCCTGTGGGCCTGCCTGCTTTACCAGCTGCAGCCCAGCAAGGTAAGGACACATGCTGCATGGCCTTTCCTTTTGTCCGTCACACCAGCAACCCCCC